CAGAGCAGGGAAGGCAGCCCAGCCTTCCAGCACTGCCTGAGCACAGCAGGGACCAACTGCCCCTTTCTGAGGTGCAGTGTTCCCCATCTCTGCCTGACCCAGTGGCTTTTTCCTTCCTTCCTTCCAGGCGGACCTTGTCTGGGAGTACCAGCCCCTGAAAACGGGTGAGAGCACCGGGCGCCTGGTGCTCCAGAGCAGCGACTTGGGCTCTCTGTCTTATGACCTGCAGCTGAAAGCCACCTCGAGCAGGCCAGAGAAGCCCTTATACTTCCGCACCATGCTGGGCTCCTGTCAGACCATCACCACCAAAATATGGAATTTTGCCCAGCAGAGGACCGAGTACCTCCTACAGGTGAGCCTGGGCTGCCGGGGCTCTGGCTGGGAGGCAGCTCCTCTGGCCAGCATCAGCCCTCTCCACCGAGGGGTCCAGCGCCTCTGGGTTGGCCTGGCAGAGCCAGGGTGGCCAAGTGAGCCCAGGGGTCTTCCCACCAGTGTGGGCTCATCACCAGCTGCAGTGCCCTCTCTTGCAGGCCCGTCTCTGTTGCCCTGGTTGGAGGCGCTTTTGCAGGCTCCATGGTGCCTGGGCTTGCTTCCCCGTTGCAGCTCAGCTCTGCCGCTCAGGCCTCTTGGGGTTTGGGTGCAGGGTTGTTCCTGTTGGGCATGTTTGGACAGTTCTCATGGCCATTCACCGTGGGCACTCATGAGGAGTATGGTCTGGGTAGGACAGGGCCAGGGGATCATCATGTTCTTCCTGAGGTGCTGGCTCTGCTTTTGTGACCCACCCACCATGGTTTCTTGTGTCCCCTGTGCAGACCGACTGTGCTGACTTCCAGACGCTGAAATCCATCAGTGCGGCACCCGCCAGTGCCGAGGGCTCAGAGCTGAGTGTGGAGGTGACCTTCGAGCCCTGCCAGGTGGGCGAAGTCAGGGCCACGCTGCAGCTCAGCTCCACACTGGGCGGGCAGTACCGCATCCCGCTCATTGGCCTTGCGCTGCCCCCCGAGCCCCAGGGCCCCTTCCTCATCCCGGCCGGTGGCACCACCTCCATCTCCTTCAGGAACGTCTTCCCAAAGGCCACAGCGTTCCAGTATGCAGTGAAGCACCCGGCCTTCACCGTCAGGGCCCCTGGGCCCCGGAGATGCTGCATGCCAAGAGCAGTACCACCATCACCGTCTCCTTTGCAGGCAGCCCTGCCCCCGTCACCAGCAGGATGGTGGTTTCGTGCCCTGGGGGCTCCTGGGTCTACTACCTCCGGGGCTTGCCCTCCACCCGCAAGTGACTGACTGCCCCCAGCCCTTCCCGACGCATTTGCGCTGTCTGGAATGAATAAACTTTGACATC